TTTATTTGTGTATAAGCTGTTTAGATTGTCAAAAAGCCTGTGTTTTTAGGGTTATTGACAAAGTTGACCAGTAATATTTGGGGTCACAAGTTTTTTGCCATGGATATTTTGTGGGTCAGAAGACAAAATGTTTGGGAACCACTGACTATCAGCCATAGGTATCAGGTACCAACATTGCCATTGCTTTGCTAACAACACCCAGCCCTTCTGAAATAAAACCCTGGTTCACATCCAACCTCCTTTAACTAAACTGTAATAAAACAGAGTTTTTACTCATTGGTCCTAAATCCACCCTATCCTAAATCAAGCTCTTCACTTACCATTGACAGCTCATTGGTTTCTCCCTCCCTCCACGTAAAGAATCAGGGTGTTGTTCTTGACAGCAGTCTCATTTCACTCTCATATCAATAACATTTTGCAGTCTGCATACGAAACATCAACTGACTCCGTCCATCCCTCTCTGCTTCCATCCTGGTGCAGTCTCATCATCTCCCAGATTGATTATTGCAATGCCCCCCTCTGTAAGCTTCAAATGGTCCAAAATTCAGCTGCCCACATTAACACCAAAACCCTTTCATTTCATCACTTCACCCCAGTCCTATAAGCAACTCCACTGGCCTCCAGTCATGTTCAGAATTCAATTTAAAATCCTCCTGTACACATTCAGGGCCATCAACAGCCTTGCACCTTCTTACCTGTCCACCTCACTGCGCCACTTGTCCTGCACCCCAACTCTTCCCCTGGACGTCCGTAACCGATTCTCTTTTCACCTTCAAATCACAGCTCAAAACTCGACCTTCTCACTTTAATTTATTAGCCACCTCTAATAGTTTTTATTTTAATGTTTTCTTCTAGAAACGGTCTACTGTCCTGAATAACGGTAACTGCTAATCCACCATTTATTTTTTATTTTATTATTATTTTTTAATCAGTTAAGCTCAAGGATGTGCCATGTTAAAACACTGGGTATCATTGTGACAGTTTATGGTTAAAGCTGCAGAGTCTCGGAAAACCTCACCTGACAGCTTTCATTAAAAAAAACACTTGAGACAAACTGGGAGACATTTACTGTCGACACACGTTCAGATTATTTCAAGTCCAACTCTGTTAGGATCCATTAGTGAAAAAATTTAAAAGGGTGAGCACACTTGTTCATTAAGAAAGTGGAAACAGATCAGATTCAGGCGATGAAATCCAAACAGGTGTCAGCCAGAGTATAAATCCGGACTTTGTGGTAAATCCTTGTAATAAATCCTGGTTTTGATCAATCGTGGCTCAGTGGAAAATCCTGACTTTGTAGTAAATCCTGACCCAAGAGTAAATTTAATCTCAAAAAGTCACCCCATGACTAGCCATTAAAACTCCACTCAAGATAATGGGAACTTTTGATCGTAACTGCACTTACAGTATCAGCAAAAACTTCCCATTTCGTGATGTAGTTTTTATAAAGCTGCTGTGATTTATGCAGATTTTGCTGGCATGCCTTAAAATTGTGTTGCAAATATGCTTGATTAACTAAACCGGGGGTGGGCAATCCTGGTCCTCGAGGGCCGCAGCCCTGCAGGTTTTATGTTTTTCCCTGCTCCAACACACCTGATTCAGACACTGAATTACCAAGTTCTGCAGTGTGGAGGACCGACACTGACATAACTAGAAAAAAAAGGCAGAAATATATAAACAGATCAATAAATAAATTCAATTAAAAATGAGCCAGTTAAATTTAAAAAGGAGAGCTTTACCTCACTTTTWACAATTTAATTGACCTTCATAATTATTTTTCCAACTTAGTTCCAACTAATAATATATTTTTGCACATAATTTACATTTTACGTATTTTTGCAAAAATATATTATTTGTTGGATCTAAGTTGGAAAAATAAATATGAAAGTCAATTAAATTATAAAATGAGGTAAACCTCTCCTTTTGTACTTTAAATGGCACATTTTTACTGTATTTATTTATTTAGCTGTCTGTGTGTGTGTGTGTGTGTGTGTGTGTGTGTGTGTGTGTGTGTGTGTGTG